ACCCTCGGGCGCTCCAGCCTCCCTGCCTCCCTTCGCCCCCGTTCTCGATTCTGTGCCCGTATCCCGGGTGGCCCCGGCTCTCCCTCGCTCCATTTCCGCTCCACTCTTTCTCTGGTTCGGTCCCGCTGTTCCTCCTCCGCCTCCGTGTTCAGTGTTCCTGGGCTTGTGTCGGTGCCTTCACGTTTTCCCTCGGTTGCCCTCTCTGTGCTGTCTGCCCACCAGCCTAAGCCCCGACCCCCAGTTCTCAGCACCCCCCCCTCCCAGTGTCCGAGGCTCGCACCCCCAGGTGGGTTCTGGATAGTTTCTCAAGCCTGGTGAAAGACGCAAAACCCTTCCGCCCTCCCTCCCCCTGCTGCTGGCTCCCGGGCCTGGCCTGGGTGACCCCCTCTCCGGAGCGGAGGCTGGGACCCGGACCGCCAGCTTTCCCCCAGCCTCGGTTCTCTTCAGATCTCCCACCGTCTGCACCCCAGGGCCCGGCTGCCCGCCACCTGCCCGCCCGCCGCCCCGCTGCCAGGGCGGGGCGATTGGGATTCGAAAGTTTACAAGGCTCGCTTGAAGGGAGCAGCTGCCTAAACTGCTAGCTTAGGGCTTCGAGAAAGAAGGCCACCGTCCTAGGATTTCTGAGGCCCTCTCTCAGTTGGAGGCCACCAGCCTGTAACTGGTAACAAGCTAAGAAAGCTGCCTGCTGGCCCAGGATGGGGACAGCGGGAGGGACTTGTCCACAGGAGCCCCTCAGCCTTTGTTACTGCCTCAGAGACGCCCCCCAGATGCTGCGGCTGCCTGGTGTGGCTTGCCTGGAATTGGGCCCCAAGAAGACGCAGGCTGGAGCTTTTGCCTGGTGACCCCCCACCCCTTTCCACCCACACTTGCGAGCCCCACCTGTCTCCTGGGCCCTGTGTGGGGGAGGGGTCGGGAGAGTAGGTGTTCTGCCTTAGCCAACGATATGGCCTCATTAATTTAAAGTGAAATTTCAGACTGAGCTTAGCTCCTTTTCTTCCACCCGCAACCCCAGGGGTCGGAGGCTGCTGGGCGGGCGGGCATGCAGGGTTGTTGGTGAGGTGTGCTGTGGGACTTCTGCTGAGCAGATGTGCAGGCCAGCTTGGCCACAGCTCATTAGCATGGATTTGTTTTGGAGACTGTTTTGGGTCTGTGGGCAGCAGGGTCAGTGGCTCAGGTTGGGGGTCCGGCACAGAGGTGGCCAGGGTGGGAAGGCGGAGCTGGCCTGGTGGACGCAGGCAGGCCGAGAAGGCATGAGCATGGCCTTGTGTGCCAGCCAGCTGGACAGCCGGTTCATGCCTGGCCAGCCCAATGCTAACAGTGAGAAGGAAGGAAGGAAGCCACCCTGTGGTGAGACAGGGGTCGTGGAATCACGGTGGTGGAGCCAAACTCTTCCCGAGGGAACCTGGCAAAACAGACTCTCCCGGGTCACGCTGCCCGTTTCACGGGTGGCAAGCATGAAGTTTAGGTGAGGCCGGAGATGATCAGTGGCTTGGTCTGTAACCGTTGAACTCTCCTGCCTCCAGGCACATGGTGAGCCAGTGGATGGGCTTTGGCCCAATCACATCCTGGAATCCACCAGAGTACCCAGGAAACCCTGTAGGCTGACCAGAGCCGGGCCTGGCCTGAGTGAGTGCAGACCTGAAGCCTGACACTGCCTTCCCCCTAACCAAGAGCAGCGTTTTCAGTTGCACCATTCAAGGAAGTCCCTGAACGCATTCCAAGACCTGGAGGATTGCTCCACCCTGCCGATCCATAAGCCTAGGGCTGCAGCCACCAGGGCCACACCCTCTGCGCCAGCCTGCATGCACAGCTGGGCACGCGGGCTGCTGCTGCAGCTAGTGGAGAGGCTGCGTTCTTCAGCCCTGTGTCATTCAAGGGACCAAGTCTGCGTGGGCTCCCTGCTCAGCAAGTGGGTGTGTCTGGGGCCATTGGACAGTGTATAAAAACCCTTGCCAGCCATCCGCTTATTTGCTGGGGGTGTCCCTCAGATCAGGTCTCACACCAGCATGCGTCTCAGCTTCCTGAAACACAAGCCCACCGTGCCTCCCTCTCCAGTGGGGCTCCTCTGAGGAGCCAGGAGGTTACCATTACTCTTTTGCAGATGGGGAAACTGAGGCACAGAAAGATCTGGGTGGTTGAACTAAGATTGTGGGAAGAGACCCAGACCTTGTCTTGGTGTGAGTATGTGAAGGTAGGAAAGGAGTAGGGTATGGGGCGCATTGAGTTTGACTTGAGCACAACCCCACAAGTGACGGTGGGTGTTTCCATGCAGCGGGGTGCTGAGGCCACACCTCCATGGAGTCACTGGAGCAATGTGGGAGTGCCCTCCCCCCCAGGTGTGGAAACAGGAACTGGACTAGAGGGGAGCTCTGTGTGTACACACACACAGGTGCACATGCATTAGTACAGAGAGAGGGAGAGAGACAGAGACACAGAGAGAGAGGCATAGACATTGGAGTATAATCTATTTTGAATATCCTGGGAAAGGCTTAAGTAATCCTGACTATTAAGAACTTACCAGAAGAGGAAATGGCCCATGAATATTTGTCTGCCACACATATGGATGGGGAGATCTGGGTCCCCCCTTCAATTGTTTCTTTGTTGTTTTTGTTCCAGTTTTGGGGCTTGAACTCAGGTCTTGGGCACTGTCCCTGAGCTTTTTTGCTCCAGGCTAGCACTTAAATCACAGCTCCCCTTGTGGCTTTTTTGGGAGCTTACTTGGAGATAAGAGTCTTACAGACTTTTCTGTCTGAGCTAGTGTTGAACCTTGATCCTCAGATCTCAACTTCCTGAGTAGCTGGTAGTACAGGTGTGAGCCACTGGTGCCCAGCTTCTTCCTACAGATAACCCTGTTGGTCACATCCTGCTCTGTGCAGATGTGCCTGGGCATCTGCATTTCTGGAGAGCATCTTATGGGTTCAGGTAGGTTTGGCGTGGCCCCAGAGGCCTGCCTGGAAGTCCAGGGCTGTGTCCTTGCTTGCCTGACCTTCCTGGCCTTCTCAAGGGACTTTCTAGACCAGCATCTCCTTAGATGCCGCAGGGCCTGTCTGCGTTTGCTCCTGGCTCCCTTCCCTGAGGTGGGAGATAGGGCCGAGCTATTTTTGTGACTGGTGAGTGGATTTCCACAGAGTTGAAATGGGTCTGCTGCTTCTTTTCTGTATGGGTGATGCTGGAGGCCTTGGTGGAATTACCTGTGCTAAGGGCACCTGGCTAAGCCTCACTGTGGCCCCGAGGAGCTAGGATCCACCACATGCTTGACTTTGGAGAATCAGAGTGGAATTTGAACTCTGATCTGTGGCCTCTTTTAAGTTCAGCAGTATCTGAACACCAGAGAGCTGGCAGGAAGAAGGGGGGGGCTCTCTCACTGTTCCTTGTTTCTTTTTCTTCTTCAAGGGTAGTTAGTAGCCCACCTGCTACAGTACAGAGTCAAATCCTGACCTCCCTCCCCAGCCTTGTTCCAGATGCTGCCCAGCCTTTCCCGTGATCTCTCTGGGGAAAGAGAGCTAGCCTCAGTGGGTACCAACTGGGTGCTGCGTATTTTCTTCCAATCTTCTCAGTTCTTTCCCAAGGAGAGAGCATAGGCTTCCTTGTTAGGGTTGGGGAAGAGTTCTGAGAGGTAAAGTCTAGTCCTGGAGGACACACAGTCCTTAGGTAGGGGGTCTGGGTCCAACATTAGGACTGGAGGGGCCACGTGTCTGGTGGGAGTGTCCAGTCTGCTGGGCTGCAGAATTGGAGGTGGCCTCATTGCCTGCTCGGAGCTCCTGGCAGGGCAGGGCGTGTTCTATTTGCAGGTGGCCTTCTGCATCAGTTTATATTTCCTCCTAACTTCTTACAAAGCTGGTGTTAATAACCTGTAACCCAACTCTAGGCCACTGACTGCCCACCTCAAATGCATCGTTACCTTAACTCCAAGCGTCTCCATTTGGTTTAACTTCAACCCAATCCTGCTCTGAAGGCTCACGCCTACTCCTAATTCAGCTCCAAGTCAGACTCACATCCTTCTCTGGGAGAGATCATTACAGGCCATTCCAAATCCTCTGAGATCCTAACACCATTCCCTGCCTTAGTCTCCTCCTGGCCCCAACCTGGCCTGTTGTTCCTAAGGAGGCAATAAGTTTCTGAGCTCAAGAAGGGCCAGCTCAGCCAGGCGGGGCCCAGGGAGCTCTAGCTTTAAATGGACTTAGGGCCCTCTGCTCAGGCTGATTTTCTAGGGAGGGCAGAGGACCTGTGAGGGGGCAGGATGTCTCCTGGACACTGCTTCAAAAAGCAGCGAGAAACAAAGCCTGTTCTATTTGGTGAGGATGGGGTTGTACCAAAACCACAGGCTTTGCCGTGCATCTTGTGGGCCAGTTTGAAAGTGTGTGGGTGAGATCGAGGACAGGACAGGAGGAGGGTATCCCTCAGTCTCGCCAGCTTCTGTGTTCCTTGCTGGGCCGGGAGTAGAGGCTATCTTGTGATGGAGGAGGTGCAGGGAGGGGGGCAGGGCTGAGGTCTGCTGGATGGGGGAAGAGCTGGGTATGATGGAGCAGGGCAGGCTGCCCCTGCCCCCTAGCCCTGCCCAGCCAGCGCACCCAGATTTCTCTGCAGGAGCAGAGAGCCAGCCCCGTCCCTGGACACTTCTGGATCCTTGTCAGAGCACCTGCCTCTGCCACCCTGACGTGCTTTCTGGAGAAGATGGGCCACAATGGGACTATCCATTCTCACCCTGGTGTCTGGGCCTGCTTCCTCTACTGCCCCTCAACCTCACTCCTACCCCTGTGGGAACCGCCCCGAATCAGAGTCTCTGACCAAGCTGGGAAAGGATTCCTGCCCGCCCGCCCAGCACGATCCCCTGCCTCCCCATCTAAACTTGTTAAAAACAAAAAACAAAACAAGTTCCACCTCTCCTAAGAGCTTTCTCACGTAAGTCCCTCATTTCACAGGTGAGGAAACTGAGGTCCAAGAGTCCAAGGGTTACCCAGCGTGTGTGCCCATCACCCATTCCCCACTGTCCCCTTCTCAAGCACCACCCTTACTTCCGAGGCCCTCCGAACGCCACCGCCACCTCACTGTTTGTTTGTTTTTTTGAGGTGGAGATGGGAGTGAAACTTGGAGAAAGCTAACGTTGAAGAAGGGGCGGAGGGACATGGGGTGAGGGCGAGTGTGGGTCCCCTCCAGCCACTAATTGAAAACACAGGCTATCCTGCATTGCCATCTTCTGGTAAATTCCGGTACTGCTCCTTCAGGGCTCAGCTTTGATAGTCTCCAGTATGGATGGGTGGGGTGGGAAATGGTAAAGGGGGTTCTAGGAGGAAATACATCCAACTGAGCAGGGTAAGAATTCACTGTGCTGGGGAGGTCGAGCTGAACGTCCCGGAGCAACTAGGCAGTACCCGTCTAGATGACAGAATGCGGTGGTCTGCCGGGAGGCTGTGTGGACAGTCCCATTGTGGTGCTGAGGTTCACACCCCAGCAGCCTTGCCTGTGCCCGGCAGATGCTGCACCACTGAGCTGCATCCCCAGTTCCACTTCCTTTACACTCCCCCGACTCCACTGGAGGGTCCCCAGCAGCTCAGGAGGCTGAGATCTGAGGGTCACGGGTCAAAGCCAGCTTGGGCAGCAAAGTCCATGAGCCTTTTTAAAATTGTACTGGTGATGAACAGGGCAATTACATAAGTACATTTTGTTTTGGACACTGTCACCCCCTCCCTCATTTTCTCCTGCTTTCCCCTCCTCCTCCCCCGTCCTCCAAGTTGTAAAGTTCATTTCCAATGTAGTGTCTAGTGAGTATCATTGTTGCATTAGTTCATCCTTTGTCCTGCTGTTTCTGTGATTTCATGAGACTCATTTTTTGTTGTTGTTGGTCATCAGGCCTGACCTCTGGGCCTGGGCGCTGTCCCTCAGTTCTTCAGCTCAAGGCTAGCGCTCTACTACTTGAGCCACAGTGCCACTTCCAGCTTTTTCTGCTTAAGTGGTGCTGAGGAATGGAACCCAGGGCCTCATGCATGCAAGGCAAGTGCTCTACCACTGAGCCACCTTCCCAGTCCCTCCATCAGACTCTTTTTTTTTTTTTTGTCGGTCGTGGGGCTTGAACTCTAGGAACTCTGGGCTTGGGCGCTGTCCCTGCGCTCTTCGGCTCAAGGAGAGTGCCCTACTACTTGAACCACAGCACCACTAATGGTTTTCTGGTGGTTTATTGGAGAGAAGAGTCTCACGGACTTTTCTGCCTGGGCTGGCTTTGAACCGTGACCCTCAGATTTCAGCCTCCTGAGTAGCTAGGATTACAGGCGTGAGCCACTGACACCGGCTTCCATGAGACTCTTATCTCCAACAAACAAAAGCCAGAGGTGGCACTGTGGCTCAAGTGGTATAGAACTAGCTTTGAGCACAAAGAGGCTCAGGAACAGAGCCCAGGCCGAGTTCAAGCCCCAGGATCAGCAAAACAAACAAACAAACACCTCCTTTACCACCTTTTCTTTTCCTTCCCTCTCCTTTCCTTTCTTTTTTCCTTTTTTCATTTTGTGTGTGTGCCTGTCCTGGGGCTGGAACTCAGGGCCTGGGTGCTGCTGCTGAGTTTTTTGTTTTTTCAAGGTGAGTACCCGGCCACTTGAGCCACAGCCCCACTTCTGGCTTTTTGGTGCTTGATTGGGGATAAGGCTTGTTTCGAACTTCATTCCTCAGATCTCAGCCTCTTGAGTAGCTGGGATTGTAAGTGTGCGCCACCAGTGCCAGGCACCACTCTTCTTCCTACCCATCTGACAGGACAGTTTTGAGGTTCGGGGAGGCATGCTTGGTTAGTGAATGGGAGAGCTGGCTTTGAACCCAGGGCTGAGTCATGCTTGCAGCACCGCCACTCCCCCTCACCTGCCCTCTGTGCTCAGTTTCAGGGCTCAGGAGGCCGCGGGCACCATGCTGCGGGTCCTGGTGGGGGCTGTCCTCCCTGCCATCCTGCTGGCTGCGCCCCCACCCATCAACAAGCTGGCCCTGTTCCCGGATAAGAGCGCCTGGTGCGAAGCCAAGAACATCACCCAGATCGTGGGCCACGGCGGCTGTGAGGCCAAGTCCATTCAGAACAGGTGGGAGCCCCCTCCCCCGCCCAGGGTGGGGGCAGGCTCAGGCCCAGGGAGGGAAGAAGACCAGGGCTGTGCACTGCGACCACCCTGGGGGTGACAGGCACGGTACCCTCTGCTCCTACAGGGCCTGCCTAGGACAGTGCTTCAGCTACAGCGTCCCCAACACCTTCCCGCAGTCCACAGAGTCCCTGGTGCACTGCGACTCCTGCATGCCCGCCCGGTCCACGTGGGAGATTGTGAGTACAGTACGGGGTACTGAGGAAGGAAGCCTCCCCCCTCCCCCCCCTCAGGAAGGAAGCCTTCCACCACCCCTCCCCCCCTACTCGGGAAAGAAGCCTTCCACCCATCCCCCCTACTCAGGAAGGAAGCCCCCCTATTCAGGAAGGAAGCCTCCCCCCCCCTTACTCAGGAAGGAAGCCTCCCCACCACTCAGGAAGGAAGCCCTCCACCCCCCCACACACACTCAGGAAGGAAGCCTTCCATCCCCCCTACTCAGGAAGGAAGCCTTCAGCCCTGGCGTCCCCGCCCTGCCCCTCCCCTGTGCTGGAGAAATACTGGGGGCCCTGGCCATGGGCTGGCACACATGTCTGCACTAACTTGTAGAGGACAAGGGGTCTTCCTGCGGCTTTTGTTTGCATATCATGCTGTCCTGAAATTCTTCCCACAGTTACAGGCTGAGTTCAGAATCTCTGCCCCTTCTTGTGGGGTCCTGCATGGCCTGTCTCACTAGTCTTGCCCATTTTTATTTTTTGCCAGTTCTTGGGCTTGAACTCAGGGCCTGGGCACTGTCCCTGAGCTTCTTTTGCTCAAGGCTAGCGCTCTACCACTTGAACCACAGCGCCACTTCCGGCTTTTTCTGTGTATGCGATACTGAGGAATCGAACCCAGGGCTTCATGCATGCTAGGCAAGCACTCTACCTCCTCCTCCTCTCATCCTTCATTAATTTTTATTCATCTGCTCTTGGCTCAAACATTTTCCAGGGGTCATTTTCAGAACCCCCGGAGGCAAATCCCTGTGACCCTGGCTCTCTGAGTCAGAGCCCTGTGTGCCGCCTCCATGGCGGGGAGGAAGAAAGGAATGAATAGCAATGTTGACACAGGGAAGGCAGGGCATGAACGAGGTTCCTACAGGGTGAACCTCTCAGCTGGGTGGGTGAGGGGGGGGCTCAGAATGGGGCTTCTTTGTGGAAGTGACACCTAAGCTTGGATTCAAAGATTGCCCATGATTTCACTGGCCTAGTTTGGAGTAAGTGGTAGGGGGGATGGACTGGGAAAACCCTTTTAGGCATAGGAAACAGCATGTGCAAAGGCTCTGTGGCAGGTCAGATGGCACAGGGGTAGGGAATGGTGGAGAGGTCAGCCAGGGCCAGCCTGCAGTTCCTGGATAGCCTAAGAAAGAGGTCAGGAACTTTCTCCAAGTATACTGGGAATGCTGAGGGGAGGTCTGTGCCCCACCCCGCCAGGGTCTGAGAGGGAAGGGTAGGTGGGGGTGGCAGGATTGGGTGCCTCCTGCCTGGGCCCCAGGTTGGGGCCTGGTGGGGGAGGTGGCCTCTGGGTGTCTCAGGGAACATCCCTCTCTCCCTGTGCCCTCCCCAGGTGACCCTAGAGTGCCCCGGCCATGAGGAGGTGCCCCGCGTGGAGAAGCTGGTGGAGAAGATCGTGCATTGCAGCTGCCAGGCCTGCGGCAAGGAGCCCAGCCACGAGGGGCTGAGCGTGTACGTGCAGGGCGAGGAGGGGCCGGGCTCCGTGCCTGGCCCCCACCCCCACCCCCGGGGGCAGGCCCCAGAGCCTGAGGAGCCCCCCGGAGCCCCCCACACCGAGGACGAGGGGGCTGAGGACTGACATGTCCCCCCAGCTCTTCTTCCCCACCTGTCCCCCTGTGGAATGTCGGGTCTCATCCTCTAGTAGGGGGAAGCCAGGGGAAAGGCCGGAGCCAAGCCCCGCTACTCCTCTCCCCGCCTCCTCCCCACCTTGGCACTGGATGGACTTGGAATCTGACTTGGACTTGGAATGCTGCTCAGTTGCCATGGAGACCTGAAGGGGCGGGGCTGGAGCCAGGCTGCACAATTTAATATATGCAAGAGGTGGGGTGGGGGCGGGGAGCTGAGGTCTTCTGGGCTGTCTTTGGGGGAAGGTGAGGCGCCCTTCCTTTCTGCCTTCTAGAGCTGTACCCTTGGGAGCTGCTGAGGAGTGAGGGGAGACCCTGGAGATGGCTACCCCACAGGTTCCTGGTGGGGCAGGATCCCCTGGGGTGTGTGTGTGGGGGGCGCTGAGGACGGGTCCCCGGCTAGCCTCTGCCTTGCAGGAAGCAGTGGGCTAGGAAGACCCTCACTGACAGAGGCAGGCAGAGTTTGGTTTTGGTTTCTGTCTCCTTCCCCAGTTGAAGCATCACCCCTTAGGACACGAGTCTCCTCAGTGCAGTGCAGGGGTCAGGCTGGGGCAGGACCCTGCTGACACTCTGGGCCTTGCTCTGCCAGCAGTGGCTTGTCTGCTGTTGGGTGGGGGGGGGGGGGGGGCAAACAAAGAGCTTTGCTGGCCAGAGGGAGGAGGCGGGCCTGACCATCATGGACCGGACATGACCCCTGCCCCCCTCCTGTTGTACAGCATCCAGTGTCCCCCCTGCCCCTGGGGACTCTGGCAGAGCATCTCTCCTGGTAGCTGAGGGCAGGCCAGTGGGACCTGAGTAGAGTCTCTGGGGACAAGGAGGCCCCTGGGGGAGGGGGGCCCATGTTGGCCTCCTACCCCCCCCCATCTAGCTCCCAATTCCCCTCCCCTTCCCAGCTGCACTTTAACCTTAGAGAGATGGGGGGGTGGGGCAGGGGCAGGGAGGTGGTGAGGAGGACCCTTCTTTGTCCCTTGTCCTCCCTGTGTGGTTCCTCTGTGCCCAGGGTGCTGCCAGCCTACCATCCTGTCCCTGGCGCTGCCCCGTCCACGGCTGTTCCGACAAGAGCTTTTGCAGAGCTTGTGACCAGTAGACGTCTTCTCACCAATAAATGCCTTCAATGCCTGTGCTTTCTTCCCTGTGGGCGGTCTCCTCCTCCCCTGTTCCCATATCCCGTGACGTGACTGTGACTCCCTTCCCTATCTGTACCCGGGTGCCAATGCCCTGGCTCACTGGCTTGTGGCTTCCACTCCTTCTGGGGCGGGAGGGGGGGTGTAGGGAAGGGTGCCCATTTCTGGCCTGGTGGATCTGTCCACCAGGACTGGGTGTTTGACCCTTGGTACTCTGGACTTGTCTCCTGCCCTCTCTTCACTCTCAGTGATCCAGGCATTAGAGCTTGCTGGTGGCCCTAGTCTGGCCTGACGCTTCCTCCTCCCTCCCCCAGGAAAAGAACAAACAGGAAACCCAAATCCATTGCTCAGCCAGATGCCAATGGCTCATGCTTATAATCCTAACTATTCAGGCCTGAGATCTGAGGATTGCAGTTCAAAGCCAGCTTGGCCAGAAAAGTCCCAGTAAGACTCTTATCTCCAGTTAACCACTCAAAAAATGGAAAGTGGCGCTGTGGCTTAAGTGGTAGAGCGCTAGCCTTGAGTGAAAAAGCTCAGGGACAGTGCTCAGGCCCTGAGTTCAAGCCCCATAACCGACCCCCCAAAACCATTGATTACAAGGTGACCAGGTAATTTATATAAGACACCAAGACCCTCACTCAGTGCCCACACTCAAGGGTGGGCTTTGATTCCTGAGAGGATGGCAGGTGCTAAGGCTCAGCTGTTTCCCAGGGTGATGTGGCTTAGAAATGTCAGCAGGATAGCCGGGCGCCAGTGGCTCACACCTGTAACCCTAGCTACTCAGGAGGCTGAGATCTGAGGATCTTGGTTCAAAGCCAGCCCAGGCAGGAAAGTCCAATTAACCACCAGAAAACTGGAAGTGGCACTGTGGCTCAAGTGGTAGAGCGCTCGCCTTGAGCTGAAGAGCTGAGGGACAGCGCCCAGGCCCAGAGTTCAAGTCCCATGACCAAAAAAAAGCAGGACCCATAAGTCCATGGAAAGGCTTCACATCTCCTAGAATGGGAAATGGAGGCTCTAGGAAAGGAGGTGACTTGTATGAGCTCATAGGTGGCTGTCATGTCAGGCCCAGACACGTCAACACAGCCATGACAATCCTAGAAGTCCTGAGTCCCCGACCTCTGAGCATCAGGGGCTTTGGTTCTCAGCATTCCCTCGGTGGCCCAAGAAGCCTGGGTCTAAGTAGGGCCTGGAATTCCTAGATGTATGAATGAGAAAGGTGGGTGGAAAAGGCAGGGGCCAGGCTGGGAATGCCTGACAGAGATCAGACTTGGTCTGAAGCAAGGTGTCTATGCAGAGCAGGAAGACAAGGAAGAGGAGGAGGAGGGAGAGGGGGAGGAAGCAGTTGGGGGGCCAGCAGGGGTGAAGGCTGAGGTCTAGCTGGGGATGTTGTGGATCAGAGTTCAGGGCTGGGCCTTATGGGGGAATCAGTGCTGATTGGATGTAGGAGCCCAGGGGAAGAGCTATTTTAAAGAATGATAGTCTCTTTCCTCTCCTCTTTCTCTCCGTCTCTCTCCCTCTCCCTGTCTCATTTGTTTCCCACTAAGCTCAAACCTAAATCACCAAGAGAGCCCCAGAGGGCTCTCCACAGGGTGCAGTCTGGGTTTGCAATCTTTACAGGAATTAACAAAGACAGCAGTATGTCAGTACAGGCCTGGATGGCAGTGTAATTAGGGGTAATCCAACTTCCCATCTCCTTTATATGGAGCCAGCTATCAACTAGTTTTCTTCTCCCAGCCTCTGGGGGAGTCCAGGGCAGCCTGGGTTCAAGTCCTGCCAGGGCCATTTTCTAGCCAATCTTGAGCAAGTCACATAAGATCTGTGAGGCTCCATGTTCCTACTGGTGATCACACCAATTTGCTTCTCAGGTGATGGCAGCATTCCATGAATGAGTTGCACAGAAAGCTTGGGACATGGCCTGGCACTGGGGGTGAAACTTGGGGCCTTGTGCTCTTGCTTCACTTGCTTGCTCACAGCTGGTGTTTTACCACTTGAGCCATACCTCCAGACCAGCTTTTTGCTGGATCATTGGAGAGTGAGTCTTACTTTTCTGTCTCAGTTATCTTAACCTCTAGATCTCAGCCTCCTGAGCAGCTACTTTTACAGGCCTGAGCCTGTAATTACCTGATTGGGTAATTTTCAGATAGGGTCTTACACTTTTTTCTGAGGGGCTGGCCTTGGACTTTGGTCCTCCTATTTATGTCTGCCACCGAACTGGGATTACAAGCACGTACCATCACATGCATTTGGGGCAGATATTTATTGAAGGAGCTTGCCATGCTGGAATTAAGTACTCCTTTGCAGGGAGGAGTAAGGAAGTCTAGGATTTGACCATTCCACGATCTAAAGGACCAGATGCATAGGAGCTTACTGATGGAGCTCTGAAGAATGGTGATAACAATATGGCCACAAGATGTCACCACCACCCTAGCCCAATCTTATTTTTTTTTTAATTAGACAAAGTAAGATAATTAGCATCTATTAACCAGAATGTGACAACATTAACATCACTATGATGTTTTCCTGAAATAAAATACAGCATACATTAGAGAAAAACTAAAGCATTCGATTGCAAAGCTAGGATTTATCAGGCACTTCTGTGTTTAAATGCTTATCTCGTCCATACCCCCCATAGAAGAGCGGGGTTGCAGGTGTAAGTTGGAGGCAAAGTGTTTGCCTACCATGTGCTAGGCTCTGGGTTCAATCCACAGCCCACAAGTAAATAAAGTAAAACAACAACAAAAACAATTAGCTGGGTACCAGTGGAGCATACCTGTAATCTTAACTACTCAGGAGGCTGAGATCTGAGAATCAGTTTGAAGCATGCCCCTTCTACCCCCCAGGAAGGAAAGTCTGAGAGACTCTTATCTTCAATAAACTACTTTTAAAAAAGGCTGGAAGTGGCGCTGTGGCTCAAGTGGTAGAGTGCTTAGCTTGAGCAAGAGAAACTCAGGGACTGTGCCTAGGCCTTGAGTTCAAGCCCCAGGACAAGCAAAAAACAAAATAATAACAGAAGTAAAATTCAGTCTTAAAAAATAAAAAAGACAGGTTTGGAATATAGCTTAGTGGTAGAGTGCTTGCCTAGCGTGCATGAAGCCCTGGGTTCCATTCCTCAGTACCACATATACAGAAAAAGCTGGAAGTGGTGCTGTGGCTCAGGTAATAGAGTGCTAGCCTGGAGCAAAAGAAGCTCAGGGACAGTGCCCAGGTCTGAGTTCAAGCCCCCGGGCTAGCAAAAAAAAAAAAAAAAGGGTATTTAAGAAGTTTAGCTAGGCAGGCTGGTAGTGCCTGTAATCCCAGACCTCAGAAGGAGGTCTAAAGCAGAGGATGGTGAGTTCCAGGCCAGCGTAGACCCTTCCAGGGCAAGTAGCAGAATCATGATTAGAAACCCAGGTTGTTGGGCTCTCATGTCTGCTGTTACTCACACTAGGAGTTCCAGGGATTCTGGAGTTTCCTCAGGGCAGAAGACATTCCCATTATACAGATAGGAACACTGAGGCAGCCGACCAGCCAGGACAGAGCACTGCCAGTTTTAACAGAGGACACCAGCATCATTCCAACCCCTCCACACCCCTGTGAGGTGTATGGGGCCTTCTGCTAAGCTGAGGTGCCTGAGCCGCTAGCTCTAAGTCTTCAGAGCTGCAGAGCAGGGGAGCTGGTTCTTGAGGCTCGGTTCCAGTCTCAGGGGTGCTACACTGGGACAATGCAGTGTGGGCAAGTATGAGCCTCTTCCTACTGTGTAGATCCATCTGTGGGGTCTGAACAGATAATTACTTAGAGGGGCGGGGCTGCAGTGCCTAGGGGACCTTCAACAGTGGACTCCCTCTGTGGTGGCAGATGTGAAGTTCAGCTCCATGCTGGTGATTTTGGTAGACACCCTAGCCTTCTCTGAGCCCCAATTTTATGTGTGCTACTTCCCAAGTCAGGCCACAGGAGTGGGAATAGTGCAACAGAGCAGGCCCTGGTATGTTTTCCTCTGACTGTGGGGTGACCATCAGAGCACCCCAACTGTGCCTGGCCTGGGGATGGCACACACTCCTTACACCTCCACACACCCCACGAGTAGTTATGGTGCAGGTGCAACTCAGAGAAGGGGCTGGGGGGCGCTGGTGGGCCCCAGGGGCAGCGCTCCCTCTGATTTTCTTTATATTGATGTACATTTGTTCTATCATTTATGTTTATTCTGCTTGCTTGCTTATTTATCTATTTACTTATGTCAGTTGTGAGGCTTGAACTCGGTGCCTGGGTTGGTATCCCTAAGGTTTTTTTTTTTTTTTTTGCTCAAAGGGGAACACTCTACCACTTGAGCCACAGTACCATTTCCGGTTTTCTGGTGGTTAACTGGAGATAAGAGTCTCATGGACTTTCCTTCCCCCGGCTGGCTTTGAATCACCATCTTCAGATCTCAGCCTCCTGAGTAGCTAGGATTACAGGTGCGAGCCACTGGCACCCGGCTTTCCTATTTATTTCTGTATTTTTTCTCCACCCCCGCCCTTTTTTTTTTGTGCCAGTCTTGGGGCTTGAACTCAGGACCTCGTGCTTTATTTTGTTTGCACAAGACAGAGTCTCACAGACTCTTCTGTCCAGGCTAGCTTTGAACCTCAATGCTCAGCTCTCAAGTAGCTAGTATTACAGGAGTGAGCCACGGGAAGGGCGTGGGGGGGGGGGGACGGGAAGGCTAAAAGCCAGGTGTTAGAAACTCATTCCATCCACACCGCGCGGGGAGAGGCGGAGCGACGGGTCAGCCAGCTTCCGAGGCAGGCGCGGTGACCTTTGGCCACCAGTGGCCAGACCCCCACTGGAGAGCCGCGCCCGGGCCCGGCGGGGCGCAGCCCCTTCTCTGAGTTCCGCCTGCGCCATAACCACGTGTGGGATAGGAGGGGTGTGCGGAGGTGTGAGGGGTGTGTGTGCGTGTGTGTGTGTGTGCATGTGTGCGTGTGTGTGTGCCATCTCTGTGCCGGGCGCAGTTGGGGCGCTCCGATCGTCGCCCCACAGGCC